GCTGCAGAAAGAGGCAGTCCAGGCCAAGTCTGGATGGAAAAGAAGAAGGTGGAACAAAAGCAGAGGTCGAGATTGCTTTCTTTGGAGAATCAAGTCAATGAGCTGCAGAAAGAGGCAGTCCATGCCAAGTCTGAATGGAAAAGGCAAGGAAACCGATACGGAGCAGGAAATTTAAATCTCAAAAGCGCTCGAAAAACTGAAATCGGAGCACCAGACCATGGAGAGGAAATGGAAGCTAAGGATAGAAGAGTTGGAGCAGAGATTGCGAAAAGAAGTGAGTTCAGGAGAAATCAGGGAGTACTCTTACAAGGAGCTTCAGGATGCGACAGAATTTTGACGGCACCTGCATGGTAGGCGATGGGGATCAAAAGAGAAGTATTTACCGCGGGAAACTATGCGAGGTTACCGCAATCGAAGTCAAGCAGCTGGGCGACACAGATGATGGGCCCGCGCTTTCTTCATCCCTCCGAGTTCAGGACAAAGGTCATTGACAGGTTGAAGGCGCTGAGGCATCCCTATTTACTCACTCTGTTGGGAGCCTGTTACGAGGAGAAGTGTCTCGTTTATGAGCACATGGAAAACGGAAGCGTCAAGGACTGCATCACCTGTGGAGAGGGGCAGCAAGGAAGAAGGGGTTTGCCGTGGTACGTTCGCTTCCGCGTTATGGCAGAGGTCGCCCGCGCAGTGTGCTTCCTTCACTCGAGTTCACCTGCCACAGGTCACCGTGGTCCAATCATCCACCGTGCCATCAAGCCGGCAAACATTTTCCTGAACGAGAGCTTTGCTGCCAAGCTCGGTGAGGTGGACCAGGCATTGCTTGCCTCCGATCGGACACGAGGAGTGCAGAGACGGGCTGGAGAAACTTCCGTGCGGCTTGTCCTGGGAAGTAGCTCTCAGTACATAGCCCCAGAGTACTTTCAATGCGGCGTCCTGAATGAGCAGACGGACATCTACGCGTTGGGTATCACTCTCTTGGAGATGCTGACCGGGAAGTTCTGGAACGCACTCCGCATCGTAGAGGATGCTATTGAAGACGAGGCAGCTTTCAAAAATGCTCTCGACCCGAATGCGGGCTGCTGGGATATTGCTCTGGCTCGGGAGATCGCCAACTTGGGGCTGAGCTGCGCCAGTTTCAGTAAGCGTTGTCGACCAAACAAGGTGTCCGACTGGATTCTGCCGGTGCTTGAGGAAGTTGCCCAGAAGGTGGCTCTCACGGACTCTCTTGAGGATGCATAAGCCAAGGAGTCCCAGGGACCAGAGATGTTTTCGCAGCCTGACTGATGATGTTTCGTTTGAAGGTGGTGATATTCCTTTTTCTTTCTTTTTTTCCGTAATTCGTACAACCCAACAGCAGACACTGATTGAGACATCAACTGTGTCCGTTTCTTTGAGTTCTTAGGTATTTTTCTTATCAATAAGTAAACAAAAACTAGTTCCAGATCAGCGTGACACATGGTAGGAGGGACTACAATTCGTATGATCATTTGTCTGTAACTCATTCTTCTCTCTTGATGATTTTCAAGCTCTATTAAAGTCTTTACTAGTTTTGGATACGGCTCTCTCAGTTTTTGTTTTTTCTTGATCATAAAGACTTTAATAGAGCTTGAA